TGATCCACGGGGCTCTCCGCAACCATGGCGCGATCGTTCAGGGAACTGAAGACAGCACGCTTCACTTGTTGAGGAGCTTTACCACGTTACATGTGGGAGGTGAAGTGAAGGCTGAACACGCTGCCTGCACGAGCAACTCTCACTCCGCACTTCCTCTCTCTCTCTCGCCTTTCCTCAGAAGAAATCGGTGTACAAATGCGCACCTTTTGAGCCTCTGAGCGCACTGCAGTTCATATGGGCTGCTGCTGCCGGTGTCTCAATGCGTGTGTGTGTGTGTGTGTGTGTGTGTGTGTTTTAAACAAACAGTTTAAGGGGGCTGAGTATTTTAAAGGAACCTAGGCTTTTAAAGGTATTTTAAACGTACAATGAAAAAAAAGGGGGGGTTTGTCTCACGCGACGCACGCATGTTTGCTTATATTTGTCAAACCAAATAATATCTTACGCGCAAATTTTAGTTACCCCAAGAAGAATATCCCAAATATGTTCCCTCAAGAATGTATGGTTTTTAGATTGGCTGTTTTTTTTTTTTGATTTATGAGTAAAATGTGGTTTGTAACAGTTGAAAAGAACTTAAAGGTTCACCCCCCAAAAAAATAATAATAATAATTTACTCACCCTCATGTGTCGTTATGTGACTTTCTTTAGAGCACAAAAGAAGACATTTCGAAGAATTCTGGTTACTAAACAGCTTTGATTGCTAGAGTTGTATGGGAAATCACTGATATATTTCTGAATATATATATATATTTATGTCCCAAGAAAGTAGAATAGGTTTGAAAGTAAATTATGTAAATGATGACATTTCTCTTCTATTTCAACCATGTGATCAAAACAACTTTTATGTCACTCTCTAAATATAATATCATAAACATAGTCACAGCATAACAGGGTTGAACAGAAAATAACAAACTTTAGGGAAAACTGTTCTTCTTTCAGGAAAACATGTGCAAGCATGATATTTACATTTCAATAAGTCATAACACAGACACTGCTGCATTTCCCTACAGTTAACAGATTAATCTTTCACAAAACAAAAGAAAAAGTCTGAAAGATTAGCAGACTCTCATCCGAAATCAATAACATGGTATAGAGAATTTTACATGATCAAATAGAGCTTACTTGCAGACCCGATATTATCCCCTCAGTATTTTCACATTATTTCCATCACACTTCTTAGAAAGGCAAGATGTTGGTTGGGCTCTGGTTTTTGTAACATCAGTCCACTCTAGACTATTTTTAGAGCTAGTTTGTCGTACTCCTCAAGATGTGATGTTATATTCAGCTTTTATTGATTCTCAAGTGCTAAAACTGTCAAGTCGATGGAATCCAGTCTCAGATTAAACTGTAATGAATGCTCTGCTTTCCAAACTGTGTATTGTATTCTGCAGTGTTTACTGTGGTGCAGTGTTGTAAATTGCATATTTGACAGTGGAAAAAATCAGTAATAGTCATAAACGACAAATTACAACAGTGAAATCACAGAATCAATGATACCTACGTTTCTTTAAGGTTCTCAACCTTTTTTTGACTCCAAGGCCCCCGCATATAACTGTGATTCATGATTCTAGAAGTTTCAAGGACACTTAGTCAGCAAAATCAATATTTGAGGAGGCAAATTAAAATAAATGTAAGTTTCCATGCTGAACAACTTGATTTGGGGGATTGTTAGCATTTAAATTGATTTCTTACATATAATAATGTACATTAAAATAATTGATACAATGGTAAAATCAATCAAGCTTCTTTATTCAAATCAGTTTGGATCAATATCTATCTAATATTGTGTTTCTATCTAAAATCTGCTAAGGGGTAATAATGGAATAATAGTTTTAAAAAAGTGATTTTTCACTATTATTTACAACAGGATTTGCATTTTCATGGGTTTAAATAAATTATTTTTGCTATTAGAGACAATAAAAACAACTTTGTGCATCAAAACCACTCCTTTCCTGGTAAAAATGCACTTGATTTTCATAAGTCAATAAATGTGCAACATTTTTGACAAGCCAAACATATCTCTGAGTAATATGTAATATATCTAAGCCTCAAAATAAACTTAATTTTGTAAAATAATAATAATAATGAACTATGCAAATAGCATTTCAGACATCTCCAGCACATTTTATAATACACAAAAAACAAACAGTTCCCCCCAAAGGCACATTATCACATCTGTCAAAAACGGTTGGCATATTAGAAGAAAAAAAAAACATTGACATAACACACTCATGTACATCAATCACTTTACTGAATACTAATAAATAAATAACAATTACCTTGCGATCCATCTGTTTTCAAATCCACGTTATTTAAATATAACAGCAATAATGTCTGTCAAAATATAACGTGCACAATACACGGCAGTATTGACTAGAAGCAGAGGTCCAGGGAGTATACACACATTTCCTGAAAACCCCACTTAACCAGATGTTTTGACTACATCATTTCTTTCTGAGAGGACAAAATGGCGACCTGAACAGCTTCCACATACTGTCTGTCAGAGACTGTAACATACCAAATTTATAATGCATGTGAGTATAAATTTGTTCTTGTTCTTCTGTAATTAACAGGTGATTTTAACCTTTATCAACTTCCAAGTTGTTGAAAAGATAAAGGCAATTATCAAAGTTTGATCAAATGTTTAATTTTCTTACATTTTACATGATTTGTTACACTTAATTACCCCTTTGATGATTTTGAGCCATACGTATTTGTTGGCTTCATCACAGTTAATCATTTAATCAATGATTTCAAATTCAGTCCTTGGTGTATATTGCTTTACTGAAAATCATAATGATCTGTAGCAGTTTTGTTCTTTTTTCTGCTCTCAGGTCCACCTGAAGGTGTCTTCCTGTCTTCCATTTGAGGACTTCCTCTTAGCCACTGTTGCCATGGGCTTAGGCTTTCAGAGTCAGAGCTTTTCTTTATAGGTTCTTCAAACCAGCAACCATTGAAAAAGGCTCTCTGACTAAAATAGGATTGAACTGAACACTCGAGAGGTTGCAGATCTTTCCTTATTTGAGTCAGTAATAAAAGGCTTGCAGTGTTTTAGCGCTAAGCATCAGATGCTGACTTACACTCCATAGGAACACATGGCTGCCTTGTCATTTTGATTGCAGATCAATAATAATCACAACACAGACTGTGGACAATTCAATATGCAGCTAAAGACTGATTATCTTTTCTAAAGCCAGCAATGTGGCATGTAAGGGCATACGGTACAGCACATCATGTACTATTGCAACACAGTCTTGTAACTATTTTACGTTTTGACAAAATCGTTGAAATTTGTACAATCTCAATTGTTCATTTTGTACAATATGCTTATACTTAATTTTTTTTTAAAAATCGCATTTTCATGCAGTTTGCATTGTACGAATTTATACAAGGACTATATCACTCACCACTTTCTTAATTGTTTTTAATTCTTTCTAACACCATGAACTTAAATGATGTGTCAGATGAATCCATTTCCTCTACAGTCTCTTTTCTCATTTGACATTCATCAGGGCAAGTGTGCTGACTCTGGCTCATACTGAAGTTCAATATGGGGACAAATGTCCTGCTTGACTTGCCTGGACTCACATTAGCACTTCAACCTTTATTATAATAAGCTGGAAAGGGTTGTACAAGATGTGCAAGCAGCTCAAACTGAATGTCTGTAACATCCATTTACAAGCGGTTAAGATCAAAACAACACTGAAGGAGGGGGTCAAATCATATCTATACTAGAGCCCGACCGATATGGGTTTTTTGGGGACGATACCGATACCGATATTAGGGAGTAAAAAAAGGCCGATATCGATATATCGGCCGATATTCTTTGTATATATTATAGTACAGTACCAGTCAAAAGTTTGGACACTTTCCCATTCGTGTGTCCAAACATTTGACTGGTACTATATATAGAATACAGTATATACATGAACAGAATATATATACATAAACACATTTTTTGCAATGATCACTCAAATGTAGTGATCAAACACTTATAATGGAGTGACAAACATAAGTAATGGAGGCAGGGCATTTAACAATTTAACAATAAACTTTATTATCCAAAATGAGTCTGACATCAGTGCACTGAAAAGTAATGTTAAAGTTTATTCAACTTTAATTAAATTCAATTCCATTCAACTTTATTCCGTTTAAGTTTATTTCACTTCGGAACATTCATTCACGGATCTGCACTACTGTCTTCACACACAGACGAAACTTACTAGAGAAGTGTGACATAATATACCTGTGCAAATAAATACAATATAAATTCACGTCTCACTCACTTTAATGCCCTTTGACTGTAACGTGTACGTTCCCTTGGAACTGGAATCATGGCTGAATTTCATGTGAAGTCCACTTCGCAGCGCACTTACGGTCGAATAAGACAACGCTTGAATGCTGCTGCCTGAACAAGAGACCTCCTTACTGAAGGGAAAGTGTTGACCGGTGTCACTATCTCGTGAACGCGCCGGTGGATCTCCACCAAATTTGGGGGATCCCTTCAGCTCGAGGAGCCCTCTCGAACGCCACCCTCCGCGCGTCGGTAGCCCCCCGGGATTGCTCGATCGGTCGGCGATCCTCAAGTTGAAGGGATCCCCCGAATTTGGTGCGGATTCGCACCGTTACGGAGATATGGCTGTTCAAAGTTTCAATGGTTTTCCATAGACTTAAGCTTTACAGCGTTTCATCCAGGTCGCCAGTAGCAAACAATGGAGCGCGCTCTGGTGGACAAACTAAGTAATTACACCATTTCAAGCATTTGATCTGCGTTATATGTTCTGTAAAAAAAAATGTTAATATCGGCGGCATATTCGCCGATACCGATATATCGGCGACAGGCTCATATCGGCCAATGATATCGGCAAAACGATATATCGGTCGGGCTCTAATCTATACACAACAATATCATTGTAGACTTATGGCGCTTTTCCACTGCATGGTACGGCACGGTACAGCTCGGTACGGTTCAGTACGGCACGGCACGGCTCGGCTCGGTTTGCGTTTCCACTGCAGTTTAGTACCGCTTTAGAGTGGGCGGGATTATTCACATGTCGTTATAGTTGCGCTGCCTCTACTGCCGTGACATCATCGTAAACGCGCCACAAACAAACACACAACAATGGAGCATATCGATGGAATGGTGTTCTTCATTCTCGGCATGTGGATGTTTTTAACTGCAAGACGAAGGAGTTTGTTTCAAAAGAGGCTGATGGCAGCCAAACGAAACACAGCTAAAAAATACAAGAGAGTTCGGGAACTCTTACAACAACACGCAGACGACGACAACACTTGGTTTGCTCGACGGCGCGCAAGGGTAAGCATCTAAAAGCACATCACTAGCTAACTTTTATCTCTGTCGCAAAGCAAATAATGAACTTAACTGCCAGTATAACATATTAAAATGCGTATTCTGTGTATTACAGAGCTTCCACATTTCGCAAAAAAGTCGCCGCAACAGACCATCTGTTTGGACATTTAACCGAGCTTCAGAGTGGTGGGATGTGATTGTTCCCGGTTTTACAGACACTCAGTGGCTGGAGAACTTTAGAATGTCCGAAGAAACATTTATCCACTTATGCAACAAACTGCGTCCAGCGATGGAGAGACAGGACACAAACTTCCGCGTGTGTGTACCTCTAAAGAAAAGAGTAGCCATCGCACTGTGGAAGCTTGCAACCGGCGCTGAGTACAGAAGTGTTGGACATCTTTTTGGTGTAAGCATAACAACTGTGTGTCGGTGTGTTCAGGAGTTCTGTGCAGCAGCAGAAACCCTGTTGGTACCAGAGCAAATTCGTTATCCAGATCAGGAAAAGTTTAAAGAAATGGCTGCCTACATTGAGAACAGGTGGGGACTCCCACACTGTATTGGTGCTATTGATGGATCACACATCCCCATCATAGCACCAGAGGAATATCACTGTGACTATTGGAATCGTCGGTCAATAAAGTCAGTACAGCTAAGCTTTCAAGCGTTAGATTTTAGTTAAAATCTGGTCGAACCACTTCCACGACCGTCTGTTTGAACCACTCCGGCTGTTGTGGTCCTTTATGCTTCTGTAGTCGCTCTTCAGTTTTTTTAACTTATCCCTACATTGTTTGTAGGTCCGGTGGTAGCCGTGTGCGGCCAAGAGCTGAGCGACCTCCTGAAAAACTTTTTCATTCCGCGTCGCCCCATCAAGCTCTCGCTGGATCCGCTCCTCAGCTATCAAAGAGAGGAACGTCTGTACTTCCTCAACAGACCACAAAAAAGCCATTTTTTGGATGTTACAAAAAAAGAGCGTTTGGAGGTACCATGCAGTGGAAAAGAGCCATTAGAGGTGGGCTGTTTTGTCTGGGCCCAGTAGAAATAACTTAAAAACAACTCAGAATTACAGTGGCCCAGTAGTGCACAACACAACCAAATTGCCACAACGCATAGCACTAATTTCATTGTGTTGTGACTTGTTTCTGTTGGGTTGTGCTAATTTCGTTGTGGCTTGTTTCCGCTGTGTTGTGCTAATTTCATTGTGTTGTGGCTTGTTTCCGTTGTGTTGTTTCTATTGTATTGTGCTCATTTTGTTGTGTTGTGGCTTGTTTCAATTGTGTTGTGCTTTGTGCTCATTGTGTTATGCTAATTTTGTTGTGTTGTGGCTTGTTTTCATTGTGTTGCGGCTTGTTTCTGTTGTGTTATGCTAATTTCGTTGTGTTATGCAAATTTTTTTGTGTTGTGGCTTTTTTTTTTTTTGTTGTTG